TGGTTTGACTACCACTAGCTAACTCTCTTCCAACCTGATCCATCCCATGTCAGCTAACACTGACCATCAAGGAAGGCGGTGGCTAGGCAGGCATGCGTAACACATGTCCTAACCATCTCTCAATCGATCCAGCTCCTTCACAACTTCGTTGACTGATTTCTTTTCCCTCTCTACCTAGCACTCGAACACCAATGCCTAACCTCAATATTGCTCACCTCATTATACCAATTAACACGGAAGATAGAATGCAGGCACCTATGGTCGAAGACAACCAGCCAGGCTTTTCATATCTTCAACTTTCAATGGCCATGTCTAACTCACAGCCATAAAGGAGGACGAAGCAGACTGCTGAGCAGTACACACGTCATTTGATCGACAGCCAGCCGGATATCACGTCTACCAAGCCAGAGATGGTGTGAGTTGGTAGGGGTATGCTGAACGAGCCTTCTGTATCCGTCCTGAGATTTCGTCAATGATCAACTCGCTGTCACTGGTTGATGCAACTTCACAAATAAATGAAGTGGTCAACACGCTTCACCAACCACTTCACTCCCTATTTCTAAGCTAGGAGTCGAGGTAGTTCAGTCCTGTAGCATCAACCCACCTTTGACGTGAGCGAATCGCATTCCAAACATTCTCAAATTTCTACCGAATTAGTTTAGATTCTGCATTTTGTGAGCGTCTTCACCTAGAAGGACTATATCATCCGACTTCCTAATAGAGGAGCTAGGCTCCTGGACTTCGAAATGTCAAAGTCTCGTAGTCGGCGACTTCGACGCTCCAACAGTTGTCTGGACGAGCCTTACAACGCCATCTTCAGTCAAATCCTTTGATTATAAACTGTTGGAATCTAGTATATCGGTAGCCCTAGTCCAACATATCATTAAGCCCACGCGCTATGACTCACAGCACTCTTCTTCAACTCTAGACCTAGTGTTCTCCCACGGTGAGGATGTGGATCTCATACATCTTCGTCCTTTAGGAAGAAGTGATCATGCTGTGCTCACTTTCAAGTTCACAGCAACAGCAGCATGGGCCACAACCCCAGCTAGACCAAACGTTTGGAAAGCTGATATAAATGCGATCGTCTCAGCTCAGCGAACTGGTACATCAACCCAGAGTCCCAAGTAGAAGCCGCATGGAACCAATTTAAACAACTTTACGCCCACGTAACTAAACCTTTTATCCTTTGGTCTGTCCCAAAAGGTCGGAAACATTCCCCCCCCCCTTGGATAAACCGAGTGATTCGTAAGTTACTCAGACGTAAACACAAATGTTGGAACCTGTTAGCCACACTTGAAACTCCTGAGACCAGGAAATTATATAACACTGTTAGGAATAAAGCTATTGCAGAAATCCGCCAATCAAGGATGAAGTTCGAAGCACATCTGGCTCAAAATGCAAAGGCACAACCTAAGAAAATTTTCTCGTACATGAACTTCAGGAATAAAACATCCAATGGTGTCCCAAACCTGACTATTGACAATGATACAATCGAAGAAGATCAAGAAAAAGCAGAAGCAATGGCAAACTACTCCTCCCAAGTCTTCACTCAGGAGTCGTCACTGCCTATAGGATCAGCTCTGGCTGCATCAGAGGAACACGGGATAGATTCCGTTGACATCAACCAAGACATTGTGCCCAACTGCTTAATGAAACTAGATGCAGGGAAATCAATGGGTCCTGATAATCTTCATCCAAGGCTTCTCAAGAAGCTATCAGCTCACATAGACGGCCCTTTGACCACGATCTTCAAGCTCTCTCTCCTAAATGGAGTGTTACCGCATGACTGGAAAGACGCCATCCACAAAGAAGGATCAAGACAAAGCCCTTCAAATTACAGGCCTATTAGTCTCATCACCACTTTAATCAAGACACTGGAAAGAATCATCAAGAAAAGCATCATCGCATATCTGGAAAACAGTAGCTTGTTATCTAGAGCACAGTACGGCTTCCAAAGAAACCTCTCATACCTATCAAATCTCCTCACTGCAAGAAAAAAGCTGGGTCAAATCAAGGGACAACAGAAGACCTGTTGACGTCGTCTTCATAGACTTCAGCAAAGCTTTTGATAAAGTTCCTCACAAAAGACTACTCATGAAATTGGAAAGTCTTGGTATCAAAGGCAGCTTACTAAATTGGCTCAGGGAATTCCTCATAGATAGGAGGCAGAGGGTTACGATCAACTCGAAACTCTCCTCTTGGACAGTAGTGCGTAGCGGAGTGCCACAAGGCACGGTACTCGGACCTCTCCTATTTATTTTGCATATCAATGAGTTATCTCTGCTCACCAATTCCCTTATGGTCCTATATGCAGATGACTTAAAAATTTGGAGACAGCTGAAGGACAACAGTTATACGTTTACGTTGCAAGAGGACCTCAACAAATTGTTAGAGTGGTTCAGAGAATGGATGCTCCCGATCAATGTAGCAAAATGTGCAGCCATGCGCATCGGACAAGCAAGCATTAGCTCCTACGAACTAGAGGGAATAACACTTCCATCAGTTCGGACTCACTTGGACTTAGGTGCCACGATCTAAAAACTACAGCACACTGTCGCGCGCTGGCTGCACGTTGTTTTAGATCCTTATGGGCAATTCCCAGAGGCTTTACTAGAATCACCAGAGATATGTTCACCTCCTTATATACATCTCTGGTGAGGTTAAGACTAGAAAACTGTATCCAGGCAGTCAGTCCTTGTCTTAAAAGGGACTCACACATTCTAGAAAGGGTTCAAAGGAAGGCAACACGTATGGTTCTCGGCATGACTAACTTATCATACAAGGAAAGACTAGACAGTTTAAATCTCTTCTCCCTGTCATACCGTAGGTACCAGTCAATGAAATCTACAACAGTTAGTCTAAGCCACGTAGGAAGGTGTAGACTTCCTGGTTGGGGTCCGCGGGACGGTAAAAACCAATGGTTGGAAACAGTTGGTGACATGGCTCAAAATCGTTCTCAATGCCTGGCTCAGATGCATCCACTCCTTGTGACTTATGATTTCCAGTGAAACTGTTTTGTTCTTCGTTATTACTATTCCTTTGTCTCACACCTCTGTTTACTGTCTCTAATATGCATTTCTCCTACTTTCTTCTCTTGCTTTGTGTGCTTCATGGAATGTGGTGACTTGAACTGCCGCACATATGTACAAAATTCTATGTCGAAAACAGACAGACAGACAGTCATACCGTAGGCAGAGAGGAAATTTAACCACAATGTTTAAAATTTTAAATAATGGCTACGGACCTGACTTATTTTCTTTTTTCCTTCCCACAAGGTCGGAACACCTTGGAGGACATAGCAGGAGAGTTCGAAAGCCAAGAAATCATATTGCTGTTGAGTACTGGTTCTCACACCGAGTCAAAAACTCTTGGAGCCGACTCCCAGAAGAAGTGGTGTCTGCAACCTCAACTGATTTACTCAAGAAGGGTTTCGAAAGGATTAACATAGGCTCCAGGCCTTCTATCCTCAACCAATAAATCTTAATCTGACAGTCAGTGACAGAGACAACGAAGCGAGTGTTTCACTTTGGTTAGTAGCTATGGCTTACAGGAAAGCCAGGTAGACGAATACAGATTCATAATGAAAAGAATGTAGCAGGTTTAAAACTATTCTGCGAATTAACAAATTTTGAAGTGCATACACAAATATATCATAAAACAACTTAATATTTATGTTATTAACTTTTCTTGACTTATCTCTCAAGAAAATAAACAAGTGCAGTTATATGACACCTGAAAATTATTAGATCAATAAAACTTAGTCTGTATGTTTTTAGAGATTGGCTTAAAATTGAAACTTATTTGAGAACTGAAGCTGTGGAATAACAAAACAATCCCGTGCATATAGTGACAAAATGAAGTTATAACTTTACCAATAGAGAATATTTCAAGCAAACATACCTCTGAGAGTAAGGGATGCATATCTTGAATATGTTCGGCAAGCATGCTACGGACATTAGTCATCCAGCCACATTCAGAACAACGATGAAGAACACAGGTGACGGACAGAGACGTGATGAGTAGGTGGGAAGAAATAGTCCGACATATCGCCAAGTGTTGAGCAAAGTTTTCTAAATGAACTGTTCCAAACGAACAATGCGCACAGAAAAATGTGCACGGAACACGACCATTGAATCTAATAATTCCAGATGAGTTTTCTTGAATGCGAATGGGTCGTAGTGATGAAGGCCATGAACACATATACTAGAACAAATGTAAGTATTATTAGAAGAGACATACCGAATAAGACGCGAACACCAGAGGACTGTTAGTTCCGTGGAAATTCACCGCATGCTTCTTAACTAATTCTGCATTTTTGGATTTGACATGACACTCAGGAAAACAACAGTGATATAAAACGAGAGAATATTTGTTAAGGTGCGTCTTTAGATCTGCAGGTGATTGCATAGACATGTCACAGTGATTACATTTAAAGAAAATATCGCTTTTATTCATTTTATGTAAGGTCAAAGCATGCTGTGCAAGAGCCTTCATCGTGCCGTAAGCTCTCGGACAACATGGACATATGTACGGTAAGTTCTGGACATCTGTTGGGCAGAAATGTTTGTCTATGTGCTTTGATATGGAGGCAGATGAAACCAATTCGGAGCAATAAATACAACGAAGGTTTCTACTTTCAGGATGAACAGATCTGATGTGTATTTCCAAGGCATGTGCTTCATTTGAACAAACGGAATAGACAGGAGAGCAGAGTGTGCAAAAGTAATTGTCAGACGAACTTTCCAAAACATTGATTGGAAGGTTGTCATCGACGGGTTCCATGACTCGGTTAAGAGTACTTCCAGTATTCTCTTGATACGTCAACAAGAGATGTTAACGGCCTAGAGCGTAGAGTTCACGGTTCGAAATTGCACCAAACTCGACAAAGACAAACAAAAACTACATAAATTCAAAAATGGTATATTTTTTGAGAAACTGTTTTGATAATATTCATTAAAAAATGTATATTTAATTTTCAGAGTTCATTCAACGAAAATGTTTACCGCTCATATCAAGTTATGTGATATCGTGATAGTAGCTTCGGCTCGATGTGTGAATATTTCAAGTTGGTGCCCATCATTCTATGTATAAACCGCAGATTTGCTTGTGAACGCCTAGATGAAATTTGCTGAGAAACTAAATGCTCATCTCACTCCTGAATGGAGGACTCAGTACATTGATTATGATGTAAATTAAAATTATCAGATTTTATGGTTCTAGGAACTTAAAGAACATCTGTATAAATATACACAAGTGTTGGAATCCCTACCTTGTAATTTTTACAATTACTTTTTACTTATATCTATCATTGTAGGTCTTACTGAAGAGGAAACCAAGGCTTATTTAGACGAATGTGACGAGGAGTTTTTTCGTCTGTGTCAGAATGCGCTGCGAAAAATTGAAGTGTTTTTTTCTGGTAAGACTGCTTTTCTTGCTGAATGAATTACTTAGAGAAAATTGCGGAGGCTAACAGAAAGTTCACCACACTTGTGGATGAACTGGAGAATTATATTGAATCAACTCAGCATAAGTCTTCTGCTTGGATAGGTGGTTCTAGATCGTCTATCTCCAGGAAGCTAACAGAATCATTTGTTAGAGAAGCTGATAAATTCAGGCCATCGTTTCGAGAAAATGGCTCGGTTATTACAACTACTCAGAGCAAAATCAGTAAAATACAGCTGGAAGAAAACTCAGAGTTGCGCCGTCGTCAAAGCCGGTCCAAATCATCCGACAAAAGCAAGTATGATGCCCTGAATTTTAATAAGCGCAAAAAGACTTTCCGAAAACTACATGACCTGAAACTGGCTTTTAGTGAATTTTATCTCAGTCTTGTTCTGCTTCAAAATTACCAGTCATTGAATTTCACGGGGTTTAGGAAGATTCTGAAAAAGCATGACAAGGTAATTGATTTTTTGAGATAAATGTGTCCACTAGCATATATTTTTAGCTTTTTCCCCCCAGATTTATAAATTTTTACATCTGGAAGCACACACTACTTCTGATTTTCATATTTTGAATCTATTTTTAGAGATATATTTTATAAAGTAATTTATTTTTCGGTTTACGGTCTGAGGGTTTCGTCAGTTAGTATATCATCCTGTAGCCAATTCATAACTGGCTTTTACTTAGGTTACAAGTTTTAATATTACTTGTCAGCTATTTTGAATTTCAACATTTCCTGTTAGCGTTTAAACTAGTATATAAGAAAGGGTTGATGGGATATATTTTATTTCATTTCTACACAGTAGGGTATTGCGGGTGATGAACATGAATGGAAGTTTATACTAAGATTCCACACTTGTATTCATATTCTCCAGTGGGACTTTTTGTTTGTCCCTGTTTCTTATCTCACAAATTTGAATATTACTCATATTCACTGGGCATTTGACTTAAATCTTTTGTTAACGCGAAAACTATGAGGAGTCACAAATTTTCTCCAATAGCCTACCAAGTTCATCTCATTTTCAGTAACAACGATGTTGAGATATAAATAAAGTTGTTAAGTTAGCTTTAAAACACTTTTGAGTGTGAACATCTATATTCAGTGGATTCATAGCTTCGTATATCAAATGTTCCATGCACAGTCAAAAACGAATGCACTTTTCTCTCTTTCTGTTCTGCTACCATCGGAATCCCTGTCAGTTCATGTATCTTACAACCACAGCTTTGTGTATGTGGAAAAGTGAAGAGATGGTTTTCAATATTTCTTTGTACCTACGAATATAAGATACTTTTGGATCGGTTGTCCTCTTAAGAATCCACCTCACTCCTGGTAGAAGTTAATCGAGTGGCCTCATTCCATTTTTGTTGCAGCGGTATATGCCATGATGAACCCAACTATTTTGAATGAAATTAAAGTAACTTATTATGCTTCTTTGTTTTGAGATTTCTTGGTAATTCATAATCATAATGACTTCGAAATCCTATTTATTAATTTTTTTCCTTTGTTAGCTCTTACGTCGAAACACTGGACTAATTTGGCGACAACAAGTGGTCGAATGTGCACATTTCAATACCAGCAGAGAGGTCGATGATCTCATTACAGAAGTCGAAGTGAGTGTTTAAATGTGTGTGCTTGGTCTTATTTTCAAGCAAACTCTTGGGAAAAATCTCTAAATAATAGTGCGTCAGAATGACGTTTCATCACTTCATCTTATGTCTTATAGTTTTTTCATCTAAAGGTCTTAGTATAATTTGTACTATCGATTTGAAATTGTCACTTTTTATTTGCAACCACATAATACATCGACAAACTAATTTTGCCTGAATTCTCGAGGTCATGGGTGGTGAAAGTCGGCAGGTACTTTTGTCCTGTTACCCTCCGTAGTTTTCGTGGATTCAACTAATTAAATGTGAAATTTTTTACCCTGCTGCCTTAGTATTGTGTTTTTAGTTGAAAGTGAAAGGCACAAATAAAGTAAATGTCACTGAGTTTGATTACAATAAGTTTTGAGGCTAAAACACATTGAATTCCTAGTCTCATTATAAAATAACAACATACTTGTAATTGGAAATTAGGAGTTGTCAAATACTTAATATGGAGTTTGCTACCCAGCACCATTCTTAATAAAATCCACTAGAAAGGACAATCACGCAAATCGATGGGGCAGGCATTTGGAAGATGCTTCACCAACACGACCGATTACCACATTTCCAGTCATCCAGAGTTATCACAGAATTCAGCAGAGACAAAGAAAACTGCTTTTGGTTGGTTCGATCCCAATAAATCATCTGCCCCCTTGCAGGTTAGGGCATAATTGCATATATTAGCTCTGCATTTACTGCAGTTAACCATGTAGCATTTAGTACCTAAGGAATCCCTGCTAATTAATAAAGCGTTCGCGGTTTCGCTGTCTTGTAGTATATACCTGGACATGGATGGGTTAGTCTGTGAGACAAGTATATGATTACTGGCATGATCAACCGGTTTATTCACATAATAATATACTAATATACATTGGTTTTCAGGAGAGGCGAACAATTAACCTTTTACAAGACTAGAACCGTATGGTCTAACTCTCAGGCGCAGCCACACGGATGCCTTATATCTCTGTTTTACATTCGCAGTATCAGTATGTGTATCGTCAGGCAGAGTTATACACTTTTTCACTACATGGACAGGTCAGATTTGACCTATGCTGCTTACATTACTAGTCAACTATATTAGTATAGGCAAGTCTATGAAGACTATTGCAAACCATCCACAACCACACCAATTAGCTTTGAGTATAGTAGGACTCTCGGCTGTAGATATCAGTATGGATTATGCCATAATGACAGTAGACTATGTAGGTAATAGGCAAAGCAGTGTAACTTAAGGATTGAGTACCCAGACAAGCTTGAAACCTAGAATCACAAGCCGTAACTCAATTATTTTGTATCTGAAAGTCATTTGAGGACATTTTACAAATATTCACTTTTTCATATTCTTAGACTTTAAGTTAAGGGTAGTGGTCCTGGTCAGTGTAACGTGGCAAATAACATTTAAAAATTTCCATCTATAATCACCCATTACTTTATTCATTTAAACTTCTAAGTGTGATACGTTGGGGGAGGTTTTAAGCACTCTATTTTCATGTTTTTCACACAGATGTAAGTGAGAGCTGGTCTCTTTGCGAGTTTTTTGTTTTAAGTCATTGTTTTCCAAAAGCTTTGTTTTGCTTTCACTACATGTAAATTATTCATGTCAGATGAAACAGTCGATTTAAAAGTGTTCTTACCCAATTCCACTTTATCTTTAGTTTCCATATTTGGTCATTTACGTTATTTTGTTTCATGTTTTATATAAAGAGAGGGTTTGTGCTGGAAACCAAAACCGACGATCAGAAGTGGTACAGATAGTTTTCCAGGTACCCTTGTCTTCTCCTTGTTTGAATATTAACACTCCACTGAATCAATGTTTGATTTATTGTATGAAATAATTCTGAAGTTCTGTTTTATTTTTTTCTCACTAAACGGGATGAAACTTCTACCGTACTTAAAATTATAATTTTCAGTAAATTTATTTAATTTTTGGGAAAAAACTGAACTTCTGTTGATGAGAGTTTGTATTTAACATCCTACCTCCTACTTGTTGCTTAGTATGGGAATTCATATATTTATCATTTGAATGCTATGCAACGCAGAGTTTCAACCTGTTGCTACTCTGTAAAGGGAGTCGTTAGAGAACATCCAGTTCTTTTAATTGAATTTGAGATTTTCCCGTCGATTGATTGGACCGAAGTGCTTGGTCTCAGGTTGACATGTCTGTTGGCTTCTTGTGCAGATGCTTCGACGATGTCTGAGCATTTAATTAGTGTTTAATTGGTGGATGGTGACTAGCAGTGGAATCCAGGATAACGCGCATTTCGTCTTATTTGGGACTCGTCATCTGGATGTACCCGCGTTTCTCAGTAAGTGATGATGTTCCCACCGAGGCTCGAACCCAGTGCCCATAGTTTCAAATGCCAAAGCGTTATTCACTAGACCACTTGGGCCATGAGAGCCACCTCTTGTGCAACGGGTCATATTAATTTAATTTTAGATTTTCCCGTCGACTGATTGAACCGAAGTGTTTGGTCTCAGGTTGACATGTCTGTTGGCTTCTTGTGCAGATGCTTCGACGATGTCTGGGCATTTAATTAGAATTTATAGTTTATTCATTTTGTCTTCTAAATTATTTTTAACATAATCAAAAGTTGGTTTGGTTTTTTTCTTTGGCTGACAACTACTCATCTGCCAATGGCTAAAGAAGTGTAAGTGATGTCATTTTAAGAAATAGTTAAACTCATCCTTGCCTTCCATGACCTGTGGATGGAAAAGTGAAAGTTTGTGTAACTCGTTTTCTTTTCTTTTTTTCGGTAAATTTCGGAGAAATTTAACAACAAACTACTGCATTCTTATAGATGATAATATCATTTGATAAATCTCTTTGACTGTGCTGAAATCAGTCCAGATGAACTCTGATCACAATTTACCCCATTAGTTGCATAGACACTGAGCACCATCTGAAAAGTAGACAAATGTAAAAAGTCTGATATTTTTAATTTGTTTATTTTCCTGAAGACTGGTTTGTCAAAAGAAGTGTTAGAATCGTTTATTTTGATATCTGTAAGATTTCTGCGATTACAAGTTTCGCATACCTATCGAGAATATTTTTTATGTTGAACACATGGGACTTGAAAATTTTGGGATAACATTACAAAATTTGTATTCTGTTACTAATACTCATCAATAAGATGAAGCATATTTTAAATATGACTCCTTGGTGGTAAAATAAAGAGTTGACGAAAAGAGGTTGACAAATTTAATTTTTCCAAATGGTTAGACATCACTGATTATTAAATTTATCTCGTCGTGGATTAAAAAATTAAATAAATAACAAGAAAAATTAGATGTGAATATGGGTGATATTATTTATATAAAAGAAGTGAGTACGTGTTTGTGGCTAGTGTATTTCTCTAGGCTAGTCTACTCATTGAGTAACTTCTGTAAAACAATTTGTTATATAACTGTAAAGGAATATATTATCAATTAGGGATTTATGTTGTTTCTTGTTTATATTTATACTCTTTTAGTGGATTTATGATGAATTTTAAAAATGCTTCATCTGCTCTTCTGTCTTATGCTTCAACTTTAGAATATATTTACAGAGAAGTTGGAACAAGGGGATAGACAGAAAGCAATGAAGCGTTTACGAGTGCCACCGCTTACTGAAAAGGTAACTATAGGTTTATGCCTTTATTATTTTATTTTAATATTTCAATTTGTATCAGTCAACTAGTATTTGCAAAATGTAAAAAGTGAAATGCACATCGTTAAAAAAAAATGTTTTCCAGGTTTCTTCTATAGCCTGATTACATACACCATTACAATCAGTATCTGCTTATGTAAAAATACTTTTTATCACAAAAGAAACTAATTTTTCGCTAGTGAAGAACTACCTTGATTATTATTTAGGTTATTCACACTCTTTTATTTATATTTAAATTTAGCTAATAGTAGATGTGTCATAAATTTTATGGTTACTTTATTATTTTTTTCCATTAAGCTTGTTGTTTTTCCATAGAATCTTATAGTAAAGTATTTCGCTTCCGTTCACTGACGGACTGACTGGTTTCAACGTAAAACTCTGCACAGAAGTGCAATAGTTCGAATTGCCACACTTCACTCAGCACTCAAAGCAAGAGAAGAGAGCAAAAAGAAATGCAAAATAGAGACAATAAACACATGTGTGAGGCAAAAAGAATAGTAATATGAAAGAACAATATAGTTTTATTGGGTATTATAAGTCACAAGGAGTGGATGCATCTGCACCAGGCTAGCCATTGACAAACTTCACTTTGAGCGATATCACCAATTGTCTCCACCCACTGGTTTTTACCATCTACCGAGGACCCCAACCAATCTGGCAGTCTACACCATCCCACGTGCCTGGTTGGCTTAAAGTAACTCTTGTGGATTTCATTGACTGATGAAGTCATGTTTTGGTTTGACTACCACTAGCTAACTCTCTTCCAACCTGATCCATCCCATGTCAGCTAACACTGACCATCAAGGAAGGCGGTGGCTAGGCAGGCATGCGTAACACATGTCCTAACCATCTCTCAATCGATCCAGCTCCTTCACAACTTCGTTGACTGATTTCTTTTCCCTCTCTACCTAGCACTCGACCACCGATGACTAACCTCAATATTGCTCACCTCATTATACCAATTAACACGGAAGATAGAATGCAGGCACCTATGGTCGAAGACAACCAGCCAGGCTTTTCATATCTTCAACTTTCAATGGCCATGTCTAACTCACAGCCATAAAGGAGGACGAAGCAGACTGCTGAGCAGTACACACGTCATTTGATCGACAGCCAGCCGGATATCACGTCTACCAAGCCAGAGATGGTGTGAGTTGGTAGGGGTATGCTGAACGAGCCTTCTGTATCCGTCCTGAGATTTCGTCAGTGATCAACTCGCTGTCACTGGTTGATGCAACTTCACAAATAAATGAAGTGGTCAACACGCTTCACCAACCACTTCACTCCCTATTTCTAAGCTAGGAGTCGAGGTAGTTCAGTCCTGTAGCATCAGCCTACCCTTGACGTGAGCGAATAGCATTCGAAATATTCTCAGATTTCTGCTGAATTAGTTTAGATTCTGCATTTTATCAATGTTTTCATCTAGAGGGACTGTGTCATCTGCATATTCTCAGTCAACGATATTATTCCCTTGTAACAGCCAAGTCAATCCCTGAGTCACTGAAGTCACTTAGAGTTAGTTCCATTAGTACATCTATGATGATATTAAGTAGAAATGGGGACAGTGGGCATCCCTCGCTGACGGACACCACTGGTTGTCATCACAGTTGGCAGTTGACAACTCTTTGTAGGCTGTCATCTGGCTGACTGCATGAGTTCGAGTAGAGTGAGTGCCTTGATCAGTGAGATGTGTTTTCTCGGCATTCCCTTCACAGTCAAACATCGCCATAGTACCTCTCAGTCGACGTAAATGAATGCTGCCTTCAGGTCAAGAAATATGACAAGTGCTGGACGCCGGTGGTGAGTATGCTTATGTTCTAGAATCTGTCGAAGGATGAAGATGTGATCAATACATCCTCTTCCTGGTCTAAAGTCTGCCTGGTTCTCTCGTGTTTGTTCCTCCCGAGCGATAAAGTGGGTATTTAAATATTGGTGAAGTTGTATCGAAGATAGATAGTTAATAATAATTTTTTAATAATAATAGCTTTATTCCAAACAGTATTTGTGGTACAGGTATTGAATTTTCAGCGTGAAACTTATGATACAGTGATCAGAATTAAGTAGTGGGGCTCTTTTTCGAGCTTCAAATATTCCTGTGTCATTTGTAAACCCAAGATCAAGAGTATTATCCATTCGAGTCGAGAAGTTGACAATGTTATCATGTCCAAGTGAAATAAGGAAGCTGTGATCGGCAGAAGTGAAATCTCCAGTAACTACAGACAAGGAGTTTCCGAAGGAGGTGGCAGCAAGGGAGGTAAATTCATCAGCAAATAAAGACAATTCTGTGGAATTGCATCCAGGAGCAATATAAATGTTCGAGATGTATATGTAGTTATATTTTGACAAATGTTTAGGCTGACATTTAACGGTGAGGCAGTCAATATTGTCACCAGAGAATTTGAAACATACCTTATTAGATGTACGCCATTGTGAATTGATGAAGATGGCGACACCGCCACCGCGTTTCTTCCTAGAACTACACCGATCTTGTCTGAATAATTTGAAATCATTCAGATACACTAGATTGTCATCATATAGATCATGTAGTCATGTTTCTTGAAGTGATATGATCCCAGTATTACGATATGTAATGGAAGACACGAGTGATTGAAGACAGTTAATTTTAGCTAGCGGGGAGCGACATTTAAGTACTCATAATTGCAGGAACAGTCATAAATTGAATAGGGGTATTTTTTTAAAGGCTCTTTGCCACCTGGCATGATGGTTTTTTGTCTTTTTATGATAATTTCGATCAGTAGGTTTTAAGGATATTAAATACACACGAGAATAAATAATCCGATTAGAGGTCATATTTGAATAAGATTTAATTATTTAAAATGAAATTGGAAATGAGCGATTAGATGCAATATGATTTATAATGTATAAGCCCAAGATTTAAGCAGGCCGCTAAGGTGTGTCTTAATAACTAATCTACACTGGTTATAATAAAGTATTCATCATTTCATATTCTGATTTTGTTTCTCTACATCAATAAATTTCGTAGAAAAAGAATCAAGCATTATATATTATATCCTCGTAATTTTCATCATCTTTTGTTGAAACAGTCATTATCCTGTGTAAAATTGACATGTGAAAGGTGAATTAGGAGGATATCGATATTTACTCACGTTAAACACGACTATTTTTATTTTTTATATTTTACGATTTGTCTACTTTTTTGTTTGTTATCTCTCCATATTTTTGTAGTCTAATCCTCATGGTTTGTTTCTGTTTGGCTTATATGTTGGAATTTTTCTGGCTCAGTTTATTGTTATTGTGTTAACTGGTAAGTTTTTTTTTTAAATGGATATTGTCAACATCTTTTTCTGATTTTGTAAAAAGAAAAATATCTGAATGTATTTTAACCTTTTTTGAGAGATACAATTTATTGGTTTATTAAAGAAATTGTGCGATCGACTCTTTTCATAATTGTAGTTATTGAAATTATTTGGTATTATAAAGCATATAGAAATGATTTACAAGTCATATTTTCAGAAATATTATATGAATAATAAAACAATATGTGTGCGTTGATGGCATAGCGGTAGATTGCCCGCCAACCACGCCTCATGTGGTCCGGGGTTGGATCCCCGGCTGCCGACGAAATCCTTTACCTCGCTTAGCCATTAATAAGACTGGTAAAGAGGGAAGGTTGGGCATGCGGCTAGCAACTCCATCCCGTAAAAGCAAATACCACTGCTACCGAAGCTTCAAGCCTCTGGCTTGAAGCCCTATGTTCCACTAGGAACGTAACGGAATAAAAAAAGAAAAGAAAATATTATGGCTTGATTTAAGTTCATTAGGGAAATAAAGTTTCCACATTTCATAGAATAATACCTAGAATTCTATAATTTCTTGTGTAATTATATTCATAATTCTAAAACAACCACAGACATGCATTGAAAGCTTTCTTACTTGTCTTTGAATAGTATTCATTATGAGGAAAAGTTTTGTTAGAGGTCGTTTGTCTAGTAAACTAATAAGTATTCTGTCAGTTTGTACATCCTAAAGGGATTGTACACAAAAGCTGCTTTCATTTCCTATGGGGAATTCATTTAACTAAAAACTGTTGATCTACTTTAAAAAGTAAAAGAAATAACGTGAAATCAGTTACATCTGCATACATAAAAAACATCTGGACTTTATTCCACTAGCCAATCACAGTCAACTTTCACATCGATTTCTTGCAGTTGTATGGAGAAGTCAACGTGATCCATGAAGTTGGGTATAAGTACAGTTTCTCGGTGATTTCGTTGGACGGCAGTGTCGCTATTTTCGCAGTGGACAGGAGTGAGAATTCACGTCCATCGTTGGTCACATAGTAGCGTGTTCACTTCTGAAACTGATGACTGGGAATACCAACTGTCGAAATTTCACAAATTCGGATGAATAAGCTATTCATTGTCCTCTTGTTTTCAATGATTCTCTGACTACTGAGTGACTGACAAAATCTGTCTTGAATATACACAAGCTCGAGGATTTATCTTCATTCATGTGCATTAACTGGTTAAGTGGAAAGTTTTGAGTGATATAATGTAAACAGATTTATCAACCATATCAACAAATACTCTAACACTAGGGAATAAGTTCAGTTACTCATTTTCAAACACATTTAACTGTTTGTTTTTTAAATATTTATTTTGTTTTCACTTTTCATTATTTATTTTCTTTAATGGTTGGATATCTACACCTAATTTTTATTTCATATTTAGGTATATTTTTACGTCCACTACCTCCATATTACCTTCCTGCAATACGATTGTTTCGTGGAACATTTCTTCTTATATTCTTTCTTTGTTTATTTGGAGCTAACACTTATGGATGGCGTTCATCTGGTGTAAATAATGTTCTTATTTTTGAACTTGATCCGCGAACACATTTAGATCATTTTGAATTATTACAGGTAAGTGATACATATTAATTCTAATCATTTTCTATAAAAATTATACTTCTGATTGTTTTTTTGGTAGTTCCCTTCTTATGCATCATTTCAAAGGTCAACATTTTTATAGTTTGAAATAACCGGTTATTTGAGATCATCTGAATTTCTCACCTAGTTATTGTTTTGGGATCAAAGTACATTTTTATTGATCAAGTTCAATCAGCTACCTGAATAAAAAAAGTTTAATACTCAGTCAGTTGGTTAATTTCACTTTCAGATGCAAGCGCAACTTATATGAACTGGTTAGTTCGTACGGTTCCACTATCATAGATGCCACAGCAGTTGAAACTAAATCAAATGTTAAATACCTTGGACTGTGTATTTCCTCTGACCACCTTTCCTGGTCTTCCCACATCATGTTAGTTTCCAGAAAGATATTTCGTTTGACGCTCTACGTAGGGAAGTTAAGACTATCTGGTATCATTCCGTCTCTACTGTCACTGTTTGTTAATTCTTGTATTCTGCCTATACTTCTCTACTGTTCCCCCTTAATCTTTCCTGGGCTACTTAAGGAAGACTTTGTTATCCTGCGAAGGTCATTAAAAGCCGTAGGTAGGGGGAGTGGGATTTTGCTAAACCTACTCGATAATACCGTTGTAGATGGACACATGGACGTCTGCAAGAAATTAGAAAATATTATCTCGTTAGACTTTGAACATCTTTTCTATTCACAACTCTCTCCTTGCATGTCATCGAGTAAAACTAGAAGCAAGTATAGAAGACTGTATTCTTAGACGAGTAAGTATAAAACTCTACGATACCTTATTTAGCACACATTTTATGTGATGAGAAAAGTGTATTACATTATTATTATTCCCTTGGGTTCTGAGTAGAACATAAGGCTTCAACATAACATCTCCACTTTGTCCCATCTTCTGCCATCCTTTTCAGCTTGGATCATGGTTGCCCACGATCTTTCATCTCCTCCCCACACGATCTCCTCCATGTCACCCTTGCATCGACGACCCAGTCGTCGCTTCCCATTGAGATTCCACTCAAGCAATGGCCTGCACTGCACGCGATTTCATTTGACGGTCTTCTCAATGTATGCCCGATCCATCTCCATTTTTTCCTACATATTTGTTGGACGGTCGTTTCTTGGTTGGTTTGTTCCACCCCAAAGTTTCTTGTTGCTCATTCTCTGATCTTAAGCATGTAGTCAGCGAAGGCGGCGGCTGTCGATAAAACTCCTCAACCTGTTGGAGATCCTTCTCGTGACACGCTGGTTAAGTTTCTGACCCGTATAGAAGAACTGACTGAGTTCACATTTGTGTTCAACAGAATCCGAATCTTGTGCTTTACGCTGCGGAGTGCAGAAGATTTTAACTGGTTTCAGACTGATGAAGATGTATTTTGCATTTCCGATTCTGTCTGGCTTCAATATCTTCATCCATTCCGCCTGTAGTTTAAACGATGCTTCACAGATAAGGAGGTAACCTCTGTTAAATCTCTCTCGTTGATGGCGATTGGTTCTGGTTGTCTTCATCACCTCCGTCTTCTCTAAGTTCACATGGAGTCCCGTCTTCGTTGCCTGCTTCTTCAGCCAGTTTGTTGGTTTCCGCCTACAACTCTTCGAGTTTATGTGACATTAGACATATATCATATGCGAAATGCAGATCTTCTAGAGTCTTCTTATTGGTCGTCCAACGTACTCCTGTCTTCTCACTCCCAACGCACAGTCTGACGCATAATCCAATTAAGAATACCATCGGTGATAATAGACAGCCCTGTCTTACTCCTGTATTCACATCGAACGCCACCCTGAGTTTTCCGTTGTGGATCACCTGACACGTGGCGTTTTCATATAGCCAGCTGTTGAATGATGTTGATAAAGACCTGGGGCACTTCAGGCCATAGTGTTGAAGTAGTTTCCAAATTACTTCTCAGTCAACGCTGTCTATCGAAGGCCTTTTCGAAGTCGATGAAGATTAGGTAGAGGCAGAGTTGACTGGCATTATATGCTCTATTCGATAACGATGTGCAGAGTTGCAATTTGATCAGCGCATGATTTGCCTTTCCTGAATCCAGCTTGTTCCGGGCGGGTTTCTGTATCCTATGCATCCTTTATTCTCTCCAGCATGATGTGACTTAGTGTTTTACATGGCGTGAACAACAGCACTATTCCACACCAGTTCCTGCAGAGGCCTAACTAGGTCGCCGTTCTTTGGCAACTTGACGAGGTAGTCTTTCTTCAAGTCAGCTGTCACCTTCCATTCCTTCCAAACCTTTTGTAATAATGGCGTGAGAACATCTGCCGCAGATTCTGGGTCCGTTTTCAGTGCTTCGAGAGGAATTCCGATCGGTTCTGCTACCTTTCCAGACTTCAGTAGCTTGATCGCATTCAGGATTTCTGCTTTCGTTGGAGGAGTGGTGTCCACTGGCATTTCCGTGTGTGCTGTTGGTGGTATCAAGCTGAAAATCAAAATAAAATAAAATAAATAAAAATTTCTGGGCGAGTTGCTGGTGGTGGTCGATTCAAGAGTCCTTTGAAGTGATCGGCCCATTGTTTGATTTGCTCCTCCGCCTTGGTGATCAGGTTCCCTTGAGCATCTTTTATTGGTTGCATCATTTCGGATGATCTCTTCCCGGATAGAGACCTGGTTATTTGATATAATGTCCTGAGATCTCTTTTGCTGCGACCTGTTCTGCTTCAGTTGCCAGTGTGTTGAAGAATTGTCTTTTGTCTTTCTAGCATTCTTCTTCACTTTTTTATTCAGTGTAGTGTACATTGAACTCAGCTTCTCCTTCTGTTGCTCATTTGTGCACTGAGTCATCTCTTTCACCATCCTCTTCTCCTCGATTAGCTTCCAAGTAGGTATCCGTTAGAGCCATTCCTTTTCTTGCCTCTTCTTTCTCCCTGAAACATTTGTACACGTTTTCCTGAACATCACCTTCACAGATTTTCAATGTTCCAACACACACGTTTCCTCAGTGATGCCAAGTAATGTCTCCGACTTCGCTCTAATATCTGTAGTGAAGGTATCTCTTGTAATTTTTTCCTTCAGTTTCTGAATGTTGAACTTGGATTACAGTGGCCTGTCTCCAGTTGTTCTGAAGGATTTCAGCTTCACCTTGAAAGTTCCTTGAACTAGATGATGGTTTGAGCCCACATCTTCTCCCTTCTTAACTTTGTGTTCAGTAGGCTGCGACTCCACTTCCTTGAGCAGCATTGAGATGAAGTCGGTCTGGCCCGTGGTGTGTTCGTCAGGCGAAATCCATGTCGCTTCGTGTATATCCTTGTGCCTGTACATGCTCCATCCCATCACCAAATCATCCAAAGCGTAGAAGTCTGCGAATAATTCTCCTTACTAATTCATTTCCCCGCATGAGAGCCTTTCGACACATGATGAGTTCTCTACCTGTATTATCTGCTCCCAGTTTGGCTTGCATTCATATAACCCATGAGGATTTTGATGTCGCCATTCGGGATGTTGTCCATAACCGTTTGTAGTTGTCTGTAAAAATCCTCCTTCTTCTCTTGTTTCGCGTTGTTTGTAGCATTGGATAATTGTGACCTTCCCTCCCTCCTGTTGAGTTGAATCTTGCTGTCAAGATCCTGGATGAAATTGGTTCCCACTGCATTGGGACTTTGGCTGCCACCGGTGACATCATGATAGCCACTCATTGCCTCAGTGTGTTCGTGGTTGTTGTGTGGGTGACCAGACCGGAGTAGATTACTGACTCTCCAGTTGACAATTCTGATAATCCACAATCGTTCCATCTGCTGTCACAGATACTCAGCACTTTTATGACATATCTTCGTGTTTCATTGGTTACTTGGCAGCCTTCCCAGCCAGCCCCGTACATTGTACGGACATTCCACATCCCCATTCTTATTCTCACTTTCATCGAGCGAAGACACATCGGCTGACTGACTGGCTTCCCGAGGGCTGACTTTCACTAGCTCACTGTGTCGTTTCGCTTCTTCGATTCCAGCGGAGAATAAGATCGTTCTTTGAATTTTTTGTATTCTTAATATATTTTTTGTGTGTCGAAGTTCCTCTAGCGGCTTGATAAGTTCAGTGGTGTAGCGTTGCTAGCCCTACGCCCAACCCTCCCTCTTTACCAGGGTTTGGGACCGGCTAGAAAACTAGCAAGCTAGTTAACTAGGCGAGGTTATGAGAAAGTGTAGGACAGGAAAATATCAACTCACTGAGGAACTCTAAGTAGGCGGCAACTGTTTTTTGTTCTCATTATTACATTATCGTTACTATTTTCCCTTAATTTGATATTTATTTCCCTATTTAACAATATTATTAATGCAGATGCCCCATTTTAATTATTACCCCTGTAATGAGAAAATTAGGACGCTCGCCGACCATGTACATGGTCCGGGGTTCTATCTCCGGCCGACGAACTCCTTTACCTCGCTAAGCCAGAAATAATGTTGGTAAAGAGGAAAGGTTGGGCATGAGGCTAGCACCCCCATCCTGTAAAAATTAAATACTGCTACAGAAACTTCAAGCCACTAGCTTGAGGCCCTATGTTCCACTGGGAACGTGAAGGAAAAAAAATTTAAAAAATGAGAAAATTAGGTGCAATACTGTGGTACATGTTGAAACATCCATATTTGTACCAAAAGTACTGTTCGGAATAAAGCAATTATTATTATTATTATTATTATTATTATTATTATTATTAGTGAACAGTGATATGTTTCAAGAGTGATTTATTAAGATTGTGATAATGAATCACGGCTTGTGAGGTCATTCAATTGATACAGATCATATTTTTTAGTGTTGGCTGTATGCTGTAAATAACATGAATTTGATAAATGTTCACTGAATGACACAGTAGTAGCGAAATTTCTCACCTTGGGAGCTGAAGATCGTCACCTTCATTTCACAACGGCTAAAACTGTGTCATCTAAGAAGCAGTGTAGTAGCCCACTCAAAATCAGTAAAGTAAATAATCATAAAGTAAAATTTTCTAGTATTTTTATCCCAACCTTCCAGGAATAG